GGCTCGTAAAGCTCATGTTCGCCAATTATCGCCGTTCCATCTCGGCAAGACCAGCGAGGCCGCAATTGCGTGCGTATCAAGTCAAGAGCATCTCTGTGGCTATGCGGAGGCGCGCGAGATGACGAGAGCATCGCGCATAATGCAAAAGTGTCTCGCGAGATATGAATATTACCAGAGAGAATGTGTTTGCGCCATTATATTGGTGAGGCGCAAGAACGAGAAAGATGCCGATCGCGGTTTCATCTCCGGAGGTGGCTAATGAGCTGCAAACAAAACTGGCAGCGCGATAAATCACTCAATTATTGCCAAACCATTCGCACAGGTCTGCGTGCGCGAGTTTGAGTTATTCGACTGCTCGGCCACTCTCGACTTTCCATTCTTAAATTACACGGCTGATTTTTGCTCCGGTGCTGCAAAAGATTGTGATTAAATTCCATATAATTTTGTGTTTTCTTGTAGAGTATAGAAAATATCTTTGAGAAAAAAAGTTGAAATTTTAAACTACATACTTTTTTTATAGTATCCATCGTATCCATAATATCAATAGCAGGGGTTGGTGGATCAAAAGTTGACACCATCAAGATTAGTGTGGAAATCGTGAACAATGAATAAGCTCTAATTTTGATTCAAAATTTCATGAAATAATAATGATGTAATTATCCACACCAAAATTATCACCACTTTTCACAAGAACGAAGCATATCTTAACAAGTTAATGACACACGAAGAAACTGATGAGCAAAAAAGTCCTTTTAAATAGCCTTTATTATTTCTGCAATCTTCCAACGCTTAGGCAGAACTTTAAATGGTTTGCAATTTTCCTGCAGCTATTTGGCATGTGCTTTTATAATAGAGAGGGAAATATCAAAACAGAGTCAAAGCCTTTTATCCTGGAGCATTTTAATGTCTCTCTTGCAAGATCTTGACGATTAAGAAAAAATCATTGGGAGCGTTTATTTCTTCTTTTGACCCAACCATCAAAACAAATGCGAGAGCAAAACGCTCGCGCGCCCTCTTTTCCCTGAAATTTATTGGCTCAAATTGCAGAAAACGATAATCTTATTCGCAAATTGCCCCAAATAGCCGCCCGGCGGATTCCTCTTTAATTATCTACGCAGTTACACACACGGCATATCATCCCACGTTTGCGTGTTTGGATACTCGGGCAGATAAATGACAAGAGATGAATGAGGAAATCTATTCCAAGTCCACCTGACGAAGCACGCAAGCCCTGCGCGTGTGTATCTGCGTTCGACGATCTCGTTCATATCGAGATCCACTTAATTTGCGGGCGCAAAAATTTATTTGTGTATTTGCCGAGCTGTGTGTGTAGATAATTTTTTTCTCTTTGACTCTCTCGACGCCCGACAACTGACCAAATAACACGCTCGCATTCATCATGCATGATTTGCATGTTCCACATTTTGCTCCCCAAGAAGCCATCTGTGTTTGCCATAAATTTTGCTCCAGTCATGTAGTTTACTGTCGGACAGGCTGCTGAATTCTGCGCGCCGCGAAACTGATCATTAAAAAGTTAACGCTGGTTGCTCTTAGGTTAGAGTGGTGTTTAATTCAATTTTCGATCAAAACTCTAGAAACGTAAATATAATATATCGATTTATTACAAATAGAGATTCATAAAATAACAATTAATCAACAAAAAGACCACGAATAAAAAAAGTACAAAATAATCTAATATTCAGCATTTATTCAGTTTATAATTCAAATAAAATGTGTGTTCTACTGACATTATAATGGTTTGAAACGCGTATTTTAATTATTCAATTTTTGAAGGAAAACTTTGGTTCCAGTTGGTGGTGAATAAATTTTAAATAAATAACCTAAATCAATGCTTAATGAACTTCAGAAATTATATTTCTTATGGTTGTTTTTTAACTTCGAGATGCCAAAATTAATCCTCATCTTGATTACTCCACCTGCTTTGTTGCAGGAGTCGTGACATTGCATACATTGGGAGCGGCCTTTGTTTTGAAATCTCGGCTATATTTCTGCAGGGTCAGTGGCCGTCCTTTGGGGCAAATAAAATGAGCTCCTCCGCTCAAGTGAGGCAAGGTCAAGTGTTGCTTCGACCTGATCGCGGCGCCGTACGGATGCGAGGACACCTGCCGCGAGTACGTTTTTCGCACACCGCGGCTTTGTCGTCGGCGGAAAAAAATAGTAAAGATCCTGGAGGATGAATTCTCGACTTTATCGGTGCTAATGCGAGTTGACGAAATGCGGCGCGTGACCAATAATTCGTGCCTTTTTACGGCGGCAATCAAACTCGCGGGTTAATTAATTTCAAATTGCGAGAAAGGCAATAAACTTTCCAAATACTCGGCGGTGTCGCGTTTCAAACACACCATACGATTTTCTTCTCACGTCGCTGCGTTTTGAGAATATCTGGGTTTATCAAAATTCCATAAAGCAATCGGTTGGTTTTGTGGCTAACCACGAATTTATTAATCACAAACAGCAATCCAATCCATATTGCCGGCTAAGTCTTCAGTTTCACCAGGCAACAATATTGCCTTTTCGGGCACACGAGAGAATTTTTCCGTGCCGGGTGCCTGTTTCACAGGGAATTTATCGCCCACAAGGCGTCCCGGCCGATCGCCGGCGCGACATTATGTATTGGTCTCAACTAACGAGGCAGACATTGCTCATATTTCAGTCAGCGGCTCTTACCTCCCGGAACGCACCGACTTCTTCTCGAAAATGTAGGAGAAGGGCGATGAAAGATGATGGCACCCCACAGAGGTTCTCACCAGACACACTTTCCTTCGATAAACTCCTGATTTATAACTTGTGCAAGAATGAGAGAAAGAGAGAAAAGTTGCGATACAACCTCGGTGCACGCGAATTGATGGACGCAGAATCATGTTAATAAACATTGGAAATTTTATTTGCTTACATTTCGCGTTGTGAACGTAAGATTGAAATTTCGGTTTTTCTTTTACAAATTTGATTATTTGTCTTGAAAAATAACGGTTATTCATTTACAAAATTAGAGAAAGTGACAATTATTTATGGGGACTTTAAAATTATACACATAAAAAAAGTAGTGCACCCAAACAATTCAACTGGGAAACGCATAAAAAAATATTTTTAAAGAAAATAATCTGTTTTGTTAGCGTAAAATCGCTAAAATATTAAAAAAAAAAAAATAAAATAAAATAAACATGTTAATTTAAGAAAATGTCAATTTCTTACCTTAAAATTTTTACATTGTAAATTAATTGAAAACACAATTACTTTGCAGTTTCAAGGGGTTGAAGTGCAAACCAGCATGTCATTTTTGCAATTCAACTCCTGAAAGGGCGAATAATTTCTTTTTGAATTATTTTCTTTTCCAATTAACAATGTCAGGGGAGTGTTCCTTTCTTGGGTTTGGGTATGTTGTTATTATTATTTTTTTTTAAATGTTCAATTTTTATTTTTATTCCTGAATATGAAAAATATACTAGGTTTTTAAAAGTTTAAGGCTTGAATAAAATACAAGCTTTATACATACATTTTGCAAAGCTACCAATTTGCACTGACAATTAATCTCCAGCCAGACACTTGTACTCGCGGCCCGTCCAATTTATAGGATTTCTTAACGAGCTGCCTTGCAAGCCATAAATCTGTTAATGCTCAATCGATCCCAAATCACGTACGTATACTTTAACGCTGGTGAACGTAGAAGCAGTTTACAGCCGCGGCCTGAATGGAGTACAAATAAACGCAGCGCGCGAGAGAGCAGCAAGCATCCTTTTGTGTTCGCGCGGCTTGTCAGGTGCGGCGCTCTTTGAAAATTGTGTCTTTGAATTATCAAATTATTCTCTGCTTGCGTTTTCTGTTGCGTGATCAGATCGATTCGTGACCCAACAACTAACACACGACAACAAAAATAACAGCATCTGTTTAGGATAATATAAGGAATTCAATATTTCCAAAAGAAAAAAGAAATAAATGCTGGAACTGAAGTATTTCTTACAATGAGGGAAAGCTGGAAAATATTAATGTATGGGAAATTGAATATTTAAAAAAAAAATGTAATACAATTGAAAGCAACAACATTAAATTAATAGGGATTAAGAATGCGTGTATCAAAAATTGCTAAATTTTTATCATTATTTAAGTTCGATATAATTCTTATAATTGTAAGATTTCACCAATAACATACAAGCATTAATTATTTTCATATGTAAAACTGCTTATTCAATAAATTTCTTGTATTTAATGAGAGGGTTAAATTTGAGCTAAAATTTACATTTTTTTTTTTCAATAATATATTCAAAATTTCAAATGACAAATTCTACACTCTCTTATAGCTAACCGTCCAGATATATTTAACTGCGCAGATTAGTTAACGACTTCGTTCTTGCAATTAGTGTAGTGGCACATCGGTTGTTCTCGAAAACACCGAGTCATTGCTCTGGACCAATAAATCACGCCACCTGCCTGCCCGCATTTAGCACCACAATAAAAGTGAATTGTCATACACAATAGGCCAATGAATGGCTTAACAGTGCGCGGCGTGATCACCTGGAGCACTGCTAATGCGCAAATGGGACGTCTCGCGGTACCCGGTGGGTTGGAAATGAATGAGGTGTCAAATCGCACACAATACCTCGGCTCTTGCATGACCTCAAGGAAACACCATCTTTAATGTGCACAGAGCGCTTTCCTTTCCTTGTTTTTTTGCAGTCATGAATACTTTGAATTTTTCAGGAATCTGAAAGAGGCGGGTTTCCTGTTAAAGGTGTGATGCCACCATTTGAATAAATAATCAAGGAATTTCATTCTCATAATAAAAATCCTTTTACTCATGAGTCATTTTATATGCCTAAAATAAATATTTGACACGTTCCTGGTGAAATTTTCACTATTTTTTTCCTTATGACTCGACCTCCAAATGGCCTTGCCTAGAAAATAGTACGAATTTATCTATAGAACTTTCCTGATCAAAATAATATTGCTACATATTACCATGTGGATCTTTATAATATTTAAAAAATGTTTACTTTCATTTTCTCAATATTTATTTCGGTGATTCCTTTCCACTGTTCATCCTCAGTTATATTCTAAGTAAGTATTGAAACAAATAGATGTTATGCAGTGATTTTGTTCTAACATTATTGTAGTTGAACCTGTTTATAACCCTCTTTGTTAGTTGACAATAAAATAATACGAAGAAACCTTAACGAAAACATCTAAAATAGCAGAAAAATAAACTTAAAATAGTGTATCAATCAAAATTGGTATCGATCACATTTATAAGCAATGCACCAAGTTCTATTGAAGAATGTGTGTATGCAGCTTAATGATTACATTATTGGGGAAACTGTTATCACTGAAGCCATCCCTGCTCTAAAAAATCATAGTAATGCTCTGTGGGTAATGCTAATGCTTCATGAAACTAAGTATACAGGAAGTTTGAAACTAACTCATATTTTTCTATAATATCGAATATACTATCTGCTGACAGAGCTGTGCTGTTATTTTATAAAAGTTAAACCCAAAAGAAAATCCATCCTTAGCGTGCACTTCTTCCCTGGCGAAGAATGAGCTCAGCCACAACTTCCTGCAGATTTTCCTTGTAGCGGTCCAGCAATTGCTCGTTAAGTCTGTCGTCGAAGAATCCCATATCAGCCAGAGTAATCAGATTTTGCGTTCGTGGGTCAGTAGGTTCTTCAGAAACAGCACGGGGAGTGGGGACAGGGGCTGTTCGTGGAGATGGTTCTGGCCCAAGGAAAGCAGCTCCGTGGGCAGCAGACTGAAAAATGTATTTAAAATTTAACATGGTTTTCATAAAATAATTAATGTATTGTGAAAAAATGCTAAAATATACTTTGCAATAGGACATATAAGAGTAGCCACAAAAATCTACTACTAAAAAGGCTCTTCAACAAACAAACAAATCTCATGGCCCACTCCTATCAGTCAATTTGATACGACAAAGCATTGGACGAGAAAACAACAGCCTTGCACTTACAAAAGCTGTAGAAGATGACAATGTGGAGCCTTGCAAGCTCCTCATAATGGCCTCGGCACTGCTGTAGGCCTTGGCTGCCACATTCATAGCCCCAGTCACCAATGTTTCAGGCAGAATGTGGACGGGCGAAGATTCCCTCTCCGCATCATCCACCCTCTGAACAAAACAAATTTGCACTCTCCACACAATATGCATAAAATAACAGAGCACAAACCTGAGAGTGTTTCGGAAAGACGGGTCGATTTTCCATATCCTTCAGTTCATGCATCGGGTACTTGATCAAGGTTGTGTCCGAAGTAGGTTCATCTGCCTCACTTTCTGCCTCTCTAGGCGTTGTGGGTGGTGTTTTGCATGACTGGTCTGTCGGATTCAGAGATAGTTCGGGGCGAAGCGAGGGAATCAACACAGTGGACAGTGCAGAGGCTTCTTCACCTGGCAAGGAAGGGTTACTTTCCTTTTCTACTTTATCATCGTCTAAATAAAAATAAAAAATTAAAATTTGGAACATAGATCAAAAATTATAAATGAGAATTCTATCATAAAAAATCAATACTGAATTAGGTTAGAAAACAGTAAGAAACATGTTGTTATTTAAAAAAGCCTTCACCTTTGTCCTTTTGGTACTGATAACACTGTGGCATTGGGACGTCCACATGTACGAAGTCTGAGTCGGAGGAGTCTGAGGAGCTGTCATCATCGTCGTCATCCTCTTCGTCAAGATCACTCTCGTACTCTCCCTTGTCTTTCTCTTGAATCACGCTTCCTGCCAAATTTGCCTCTTGGATTTCTAAATTGGTGCCAATAACAATATTGCAATGAGGACACATTCAAATATTGATTAATAAATGGCATGAAGCTAGACTGACCTTTGACAAATGGATGTTGAGTTAGTGTGTTACTAGACACAGGTGTGCTCGCAACTTCTTTCTCACCTTGAATGGGATCAATAGAGAAGGAGCACCGCAGGACCTGGCCAAACCGGTCTTCATTTTGGAAAAAGTGGAAGTAGCACTCGTAAAGTCCAGGTCGGGCTGTGAATAAGTAATATAGGATTTTAAAGTTCATGTTGATGAGTGAATTTTACCAGGAACTTCAAATGAAATGACAATTTTGTCCCAATCTCCAGGCTGCAGTTTTGGTGCAGGTATGGTGTGCTCACTTAGAGACATTCCAGCAGAAGCATGAGCAAGACGAATCTCCGTCTGAAAAAAAAAAAAATTAATCACTAAATTTATCTTTCTAGGCAGATAACTTGAATTAATGTGACACTTTTAAATCTTTTTTTTTTTTGGAAAATAAAAGATGTCTGTCAGTACATTATTATTTGAAAATGGAAGCTCAATTATAACCTTATCATCCCAAGGCAATTCTCCAACATTCCTGACCACCCACTGGTATGAAAAGATGCTTCCGTTGTCCAACTTTCTCTCCAAAACAGGTTTATTTTCGGTCAGAATTGCAGCGTCGTACTTTCGAGCAGGTCGTTCATTCTCAATGGATGAATTGTTGGAACTTTCCATAGGCATGATTTGCGGCTCCATGGAAACCGGAGCGGAGGCCGTGGGCTCCTCGCGGGGCTCGAGGACCGTCCTGGAGACTTTCTTGGCCATGATGTGGCAACGTTTGCTTTCCAACTGCTCCATCTTCCTGCTCAAGCGGCCAAGTTTCCTTTCACCCTTGTGCTTGTATTGCGAAGTCTCCGGAACGTCATCCAACTCGAGGCTCATTTTCTGTGTCTTGCTTTGCAACTTCTGAAGTTTCCTCTCAATCTTCATGCACTTGAAGTCTGCTGTTGAAAGCATCTCTTTGTGAACGGCTCCATGTCTCGAACCATGATGGTGATCATGTCTCGGACCATGGTGATGTTCGTGTTTGGGACCGTGATGGTGGTCAGGTTTAGGACCATGGTGGCGATGGTGCTTGTGGCTCAGTTTCTCATCAATCACCTGACCTATTTCCTCCATGAGTTCAGCTCTGAACTAAAATTTAAAAAATTATTTTGAGTGATTCGGCCTTCGATCATTTAAAGATCATAAAATATTTAATTCATGGTTCAAATAATCTTTTTTAAATTCTAATTAGAATAATAAATTACTTTTTTCATGTAACAAAGGAACCACTCAGGGGGCTTCTTATCCATGCCACTGCCACTCGGCAGGAACGAACCACTTGACTCTGAGGAAGTTGTGTCACTTGCTGTATCAACTGTCAAAATCACCTTCTCTCCAGCATTAACCAGCTAAAATTTTGAAATATTATTGAATAAAATTGATTTAATTTGAATTATCATTATGTACTGACCATTAAGGCATTAATGAACGCGTCCTCCGAGTCCAGACTCCACTGTAAACAAATTTGTCAAATTAATTAAACAGCTGTTTAACTTTCTACGCAGGATTAAAATTAGCCTCAAATGCAGGTCGAGACTCTAAATTTAATTTTGTTTGTGTGCACGTAAATTGCATTCTCTAGACATGCATACAAAGCCATTGGAATGCATTTCATTCAGATTCCACTCGCTGCCACATATTCTAAATTTAAACCCAACGACAGAAACCCATGCACTTAAAATTCAGCTCCGAGTAGCTAAAGAGAGTTAAAGAGTTAAAGTGGTGCGCCAACTGATGCAATATTTTAAGCCCATAGCAACCAAATTGCTTCTCACCTCATGCTTTGCTCCTGTACTGGTTTCGTGGACGCAACTGAACCTCAAAACCTTCTGGGTTTGGGCTGCTTCGGAAGCCTGGAAATTGCAAAACAGTTCTGGTTAGTAATTTCCTCCAAGAGAGAAAGTTATGAAGAAAATTGGAGTGGGTAATCTCTCGAGTGTGAAAGATGAATTTCTAGAAAGAACGTACCCAATGGCTGCGTAGCTCGGCCAGACATCTCGGAGCTGCAGTAAACAGGGGCAAATCAGGTTCCTGCTGGATGGAAAGGTAGCTGTTGTCGCTGCTAACCCAGTTGAATTGCCGCTTGTAATGCACAAAGCCGTACTCGCCGGCCATGATCGCGCTTCGAGCCGACTTGCGAAATCCCTGACAATCGCTGCACTCTTGATTATTTATAGTAGAGAAACAAAGATTACATCCAGTCAGCGATAAATTAGTCACCATCAAAACAAATACGTCATTTCGGAAGTGACAACCTTGCCAACCTAATATAATTTAATTTAGCTAGAATTGTTTCTTTTTTTACTTGTTATTCGAAAAATTCATTATAATTTTATTATTTATTTCAATAATCATAAAATAATTTGAATTATATATGCTAATTTGGCAAAGATTATGAAAGAAAAATGAGCGTGATAACTTTGTTAAGTTTGCAACGAACATGAAAGAAGGCTATTGGTCCTTGAGAACAGACTTCGTCTGCTGATTAGCCGATTTGAACAGCAATTGGCGGCAAAAAGGCGTGAGAAAAGTATCGCAGGCAATGAAAAAGTCAGCGATCTTGCGTAATATTCTCGAATGTATTTCAACGAGGAAAAGTCTCATTTCAAATACTATTGCAACTCTAAGGGGTCACTGGCATCTCAGGTGAAGCGAATTCATAGGTTCCGTTCTGTATCATCTGTTGAATTTTATATTTAATTTAAAAATCCTTTTGGATTTCCTTCGAAATATGTGCAATAAATAAATTAACGCAATATTAAATTAATGATTATAACATCAACAACTTCAATCAATTTTTATTTGATTTATTTTCATTTTTTCATACATAATTATTCTCTATTTTAAACATTTTCATCTAAATTCTGCTTTTATTCACTAGTTTAGGATTTTAATATTTTATTCAAAATCCACATTTTAATTCTAGATATGATATAATTTTGGCATGAGATTGAATTAAGTACACAGAGACACTTATTGCTCCTTTTTTTTAACAATACTGATATTTAGATATTGATATATTACCAATAGGTTGAATGTCTGGTCACTGTATTGTATCTCTGCTCACTTTTGTGTCTCCAAACTGTCCAAACTTGGGTCCTGGTCCTCCAGACCAGCATGACCACAATCAACGCCACACTCATGGTAACAATGGCTGCGGAAACTGTTAGCAGAACCAACGTCAGAATATCGTAACTCTCCTCAGGGTCGGGCTCCTCTTCACCTGAACCCCAGTCGATCAACACTTGGGGAGCCCCCTTGCTTGCCACAAGGAAGAGTTCAAATTGATCTATGGGCTCCTCCAAAGTCAAGTTCCAGTTTTGCGAATCGTGACACAATTTGTGTACCCGTCCTGAGATTTTCATCTGGAGGAAGTTGTTTCTGCAGTCTTTCGCCAGGCTCAGTTTCTCGACCCTGATCTTCGAGATATTACCCTGAGCCGTCCATTGGCACAAAATCGGCGAGTTTACATACTTGTCAACTATGGGGAACTGGAAGGAGGAATAAAAGAAGGTGGCATTCGGAGCGTTTATTTCACCGTGCCCACAGTGCAGGTGGTCGGGGTCAGGAGGGACGAATTGATATCTGCCCTGGAACTGGTACAGCTCAGGCGAGTTTTTCATGGAAGACTCTAGAAGCTCAGGGTTGAGCCGCAGTTTTAGCTGCAAAAGCATTTCCGACCCTCTTGAATGATAAATTTGCGCGTGGTGGTGCTTTTCGGCCATCCTTCCGCCGCATTCGCACCCTAGGTGGATGGTTTCGATCTTTTCTGATATGAGCAGCCTGTCGTAGGTTGCGTTGTGCCCTAGATTGGGGTCGCAGATTGAATTTACACATTTGAAGAGAGGCTCGAAAACAGCGTGGTTTAGATTAAGACGCACTGTGTACCCCTCCGGAGCTTTAAATTTATACCTGCAAACAATTAAATAAAAAAATATTACAATGACGCAATTTAAATAGTGGGATTAAAACTTTTCAACTTAATTTTAATTACTCTATTAAAATACTATTACTATTTTGCACTTTTTTTCATTGATCTCGATAATATGAAAACAAAATTCTTAGATAAAGTTTGTGATTTTTAAAGCTGAATTTTATTTCCTTGCTTGAAAAATTAATAAATGAAATGTATATAAAGTTAAATCATATTATAAAGAAATCGCCAAAGTATTAAGAATACATATAAAAACTTTAGGAACTTATGAAAATAAATTTTGCTTCCATGAATTTTTAAAATTTCAATATTTTCTGTTTAAATAATATTTATATATTCATTTAAAAATCGAATATATATTCTTTTACTTGAAACTCAGTTGTACTCAAATAAGTTTCAAGTTTCAATTAAACAAAAGAATATATATTTTCGTTTTTTTATTAAAAAGTTATGTTTTTTTTAAGTCATACTGCTTACCTGCAAATAAGAACTTTTGGCATTTTGGGTGGCTCGAGGAGAATTTCCTTTGGATTCAGCAGAGAAAATGGTCCTCCCAAGCGGCTTGGCAGGAATTCTATGTCACACCATGTGCCCCGTGCATGGCGTCCTGTCTCGATGGAGCTCACGGAAGTGAACCTGACGTGGAAGAAGAGCCTGCTGCTGGCATCAAAGGTGCCTGCAGGACTGAAGTACACTATTTTCAACTGGTGCGACTTGCTGACCACCGGAAAGTTCAGAGTGTGATTTTTGCAGACGCTAAGGACCATCTCGAGTCCGTCCCAAACTTGAACCCGATCGTCGAATTCCGAGCAGGTTGACCTGGTCCTCAGGGTCTTGAAGGCGAGCCATATTTGCTTTCCTGGTTTTGTGACCAAGTGGTAGGAGCAGTGGCTCTTGGGCGCCAGCCAGTGGTGGGGCGACTTTAGGTAGTCAATGGACGAGCCAACTTTAAAGGTTTGGGAGCAGCGAAATTGGTGGTCGGCAAGGTGAGGTGGTGACCTCTCAATGCTAAGTGCAAACCCTCTGGACGGAGGACCAGCGTGTGTAGAGACAAACCTGAATTCAGAAGAGAAAATTAAAATTTTTAATTAATGTATTGCACTGAAAATATCAATTGTTATAATTATTAAATTTCATATTATTTTATTATTTTATAGAATAAAAATAATTGTAAAGCAGTTGTAAAGCTGGATATGCACAATAATTTGATAAATTAATATGTAATAAAAACCATGTTATAAGTATAGCTAGCCGGGGAGGATATCTATAGTGAATGTCCCCCATGCCCCATAATTTATTTTTTATAAAGTTTAAACTTTTCATTGTAATTTTTATTTTTTATTTTATATTCAGTTTATGATTTTCATACCTGATTGTAACGTCTCTAGTTTTTGAAACAATCTTTGGAAACTTCTTGGCCCTGCCGCAAAACTTATCCACCAACTCGCCGCCGTCGTAGATTTCCAGGTGGTCGTCCAGTTCGCACGCAGCCCCGTAGTGGAGGCGCTGACCTCCACCGACTTCGAACAATTCATAACGGCCACCGATGATGATTCCTGAATCTGGTGATTTAAGGTGGTAGGAGCAGTTCATAGGTCGAGGGTAGGCTCCAGGGTAGGAAGGTGAGGTCACCTGACAGTACCCTGGGTACTCGAGGCAGTTGAAGTTGCGGTCGCATTCGGTGAACTGCACTTTCTTGCCAGGCGTAACCAAAATCATCTGGTGGTGCTTCTCTTGCAGAGTTAGTTGAGAGTGGAGCTCTACTCGCGCCTAAAAAATTATTCAAAATTTTAGGGAATGTTGGACTCTTAATAAATTATGTACAAATTTCTGAACAATAAATTTATTTATAATAAAGTGAGCAGAATATTTTGGTTTTTTTAAGCAAAATAGTTATACAACCGGCAGCGCAAGTCTGTTGAGCCAGTTGCCTATCTACCGCTTATATAAAATATTTAATTAAAAATTGATTGAAATTTCAGATGAAATGAAGGAAATTTAATGCTTTTTCAAGTAAATTGACTGAACATTGAAAAAGATCATTTTTTACTTTCGGTTGATGTGTTACAAAAATTAAGATAATTGAGAGAAAAATAAATAATAAATTACTTGAAAATCGTGGTTCCTTCCGCCAGGATGAACTACCACATTGATCCTCGGGTTGTGCTCAGTGGTTGGAAAGAGCAGGAACGTATTTGGCGAAACTCCTCCGCCGCAATAAAGCGAGTCGCCTATCTTGACCCATCCGTCCTGGCAGGCGCCCCCGCTGACCGTGCGGTGTCCCACGTTAAAGTGCTCGAGACTGACTTGGAAAATTCGTCCGGCGAGGGTGCCCGGGGGTGTGTGCACGACGTAGGAGCAGTGGACGGGCGTGGTTGAGTCGTTGTGTCTGCTGCTGATTAGCACCGGACGCTCGGCGTTGAACACGAGGCTGCAACCTGCGACACAAGAGATAACGCGAGCGTGTTAATGGGGTGAAACGCTGCGGGCGCGGTTGGGGTGGACCGCACAGAGATATGTGAAAAGTTGAAGGGACGGGGGAGACAAAGTACGTCTGACGAGGAGAAGAAGTACCACCGGAGTGGAAGCTTGAGGCGGACTTTTTTCATAAAAATTATGAGACGTGTTCTTAAAAAAGAATGAAAATAAATTTTGAATAAAAACAGCGAGAAGGAAGAAAAAATTCGGAGTTCAGATTTTTTACTCGCATGAAGTAATTTATATAATTTTTACCTCTAAAATATTTTAAACAGATTATTAATAAATATGTCTCGCTTGCAGCAAATATTTTTGAGTATTATAATTTTATTAAACCATGCAAAAAACGAAAAAAAATTTATTCAAAATCAAATTGAGATATTTTTGGTGAATGGAATTATTGGATTTGAAATCTCTTCTTGATTATCGCGATTGATCAGTTGTTTATATTGTAAAAATCGTTAGCATTTTGGCGCATTGTAATGACTGCGGAACAGCAGCTTTATCGAGAGCTACTTTCGTTATCAGCAGCCGGCCAAAAGTTTGATAAATGGCGCGTGCGAAAACGCATTTTCGTTTGGGTGTCCAAACAACTGTGAAATGCGCACAACTATTTTTTATTACGCACTCCGTCGCATTGTGTATGGGCAGAGCGAGTCTGCGGTAATGATGATAAAAAGCGTTTCCCATTATTTCTCATTCAGCACAATTCAGAACTCGGTGCGTTTATCGCCAGTGAACCATACTGAGCAAAAAGTCGTTTTGCTTTCGTAAACAAAACTATTGCATAACATAAATACATAGAGTTTAAATACAATTGGGTTCCTATCCTGATGTTTTTTTTTATACTGAGAACTGAGAGAAGTGGTTCTTGTGAGTAACCAAATTTATTCTTAATATATGAATAATTTTAATTTTATTGGAATTTATACTAAATTTGTCCAATTTACATTAGTTTACCTATTGTTCTGTAAATTTAAGTTTTCTGATTTGAATGTGATATTAACAATGAACAATGACTAAATGTAATTCTTTAAATATTCCAAAACCTCCCTTTGACTAAAAACGTTTGGTTAAAAAAGCAATAGCATAGATAGTACTGACAGGGAGCTAGGAATAATATTGCAATACAGAAAGAAAACTTTTGAATTCGCAAGGAATATTTTGAAGATATGCCATGCAATATTTATTCAACATCGTTGTATATGCTCAGGTTTATTTACATTACTTTTTCCAAAGTTGCAATACCTCCTTGGCTTATGTTCGTGTGCGCTGCAATAAATTTTGAATGTTTTCATCTGCTTTGAAATTCAAATATTAGCGAAAAGAGAAGAAGAAGAAGAAGTTTATTTTGCTCGCAAGCCACCTCTGCGTTGCTTCTTCTTTCCGCGTGTGCGGGATAATAAACGTGGCAGAAAAGGGATTTGCTGCGACTGCCATAGGTGAGGGCGCATTCTGGCACGAGTGCTGAGTGCGGAGTGAGCGGAATAAATTAACAATCTGCATGAGAGAGAGCACGTATATTATATGGCAGAGGCACTTGATCTCCCGCTCTTTCCCATTGAGAGTATCATGAGCAGCGAAAATAATGAATTATTATTCGCAGGCATACACTACATGTACATTTATGGGAATAAAACACACACCCGCGCGCGCAGCTTGAGTGTATATTTTGGTCGCTCCTTTCCGACTTAATAAATATGAGAAGTCACGGTCGCCAATTCCGTGAATTTAAAAAAGCACATTTTTTACCCGCCTTCAAACCCCACACACACATCAATGAGTGCCGGTTACTCGCCATTCAGGCGTCTGTAAATTTTGCATTTGTGTGGCAGCCGGTTTGACAGTTTTGCACAATTTGTACGTGCCAAAAATATATATCACCGATGCACGCCCTGCGGCTCGCCAAACCCGACAAGTGATTTTTTTTTCGACCATTTGAACGGAAATGCGAATGTCAAAAGCTTGTGACATTTTGCTCCATTGAGAGGAGAGGATTGCAAAGTATAATCAACTAATACCACACAAATTCAAATTATAGATAAAGGTTTTTTTGTACTTTTTAACTATATAATGTCGAAGTAAGTTATGTTCAATAAACGCTGGATATCTAAAAAAAAAAATTATTTGCGATGTTTGATTAGACAATTTTAAATAACATAACATTTATATTAAATAATAAACTTCATTAATATTGCTTTTGGTTTTTTTTAAACAATTCAAATATAAAATAACGATTTTTTTTAGATTTTTTATTTATCATGGAATTAATAATCTCCTGGTCTAACAACGATCAAAGGCCTAATAATAGAAAGATGAGAATAAGGCTGCCATTCAGGAATAATAAATTTGATTTCTCTTTTTCTAACAATTGTTCAAAATATTATATTTATTAATTAATTGGCTCTCTAAACAAATAAATTGCTTATTAAAATTATTGTTTTAAAGTAGTATAATATTATAAAAATAAATAATTTTGCCAGGAATAAAATTTGAAAAGGTATTTATTTTATTTTGAATCAACTAATTAAACTTGTTCAAATTTAAAATTAGAAAAACAGATAGAATTTTGTTAAAAGAGGCTCTTGATGAATCTCATTAAATTAAAAGCACTTCACAAAGACTCCATTCTTCCCTCCCATTGCGAAAGTTGCGCCCCGGCGAGTAACGCGCAATACTATAAATTCACAGACGGCAAAAAACGCAAAAACAAAGCGTTTGCGTCGGGGGCGATTAATTAATTGGTAATGAAGCGCATCATTCCTCTCAAGCGTCAGCGGCCGATTTCGTCTCGCGGCGAAAATAAAATTTACAAATCCTCACGAGCAAGCACACAGGTTCAATTATGACGGAGAGGAAGTGGCGTTCGCGTTTTATCGAGCGTGCCCGAGTGATAGGTAGGTGGGCCAAAGAGACGAACCACCGGCCAAAGAAATAAAACACCAAGACAGGTGTTCGCCGAGACTGACGGTTTTAAGATTTTTGGCAGCCGGCCGCGTGTGATTCTCGCGAAAAGCGGCTCTCGGCTGCTCCCAGGAGGACTTTTGAATCTGATTGAAAGCACCAAATATTTAGCAGGCATTATCGTAAAGCTGTTTTACGACGACGGCGTTTTGGGGCAGAAGATCAAAGAACCGAAGAACCTCTAATTGAAATCGAGAGAACAAACTTTCGGCGAAGTTTCGTGCCGAGTGCGCGTCTCTCCTCATTTGACTTTCTTTCCTCTGCTGCCCGAGTCGTCTGAGTGCAAACACTCATTGCACAGCACTTGACGTAGGTTTTTGAAGTTTTGAGTTGACAGTCGCAAACGGAGAGACGTGGATAATTTATCTGACTTTGCGTGCTTTTTGCTCGCACGTTGCTAATTAATTATGCGAGAGAGGAATGAGAACCCTTCACATCCTGGAGTGGAATGAGTTTAGACAGTGAGAATTAGAGCTCTGGCGTTTTTCTGGCAGTTTCTCGGTCATGTGCGGTTTCAGAATAGTTTCCTCTGAATTTAAGAAGTCGGCTTTACTATTATTAAATTGTATATATATTTTTTTTATTACTTTAATTCTGTGTTTTTTTTTCAGTGAAAAACTTTGTTATTGATCTTATTGTTCATCAGTTATGTTATGTTTCTCTTTTTAAGGTTTTGTTGGCTGGACAAGATTTCGTAATATCGTTTGACCTCAACCATAATGTTCACAATGGTGTGGTTTGAGTTGTTGAATGCTTGTGTGAATTAATTCTTTTTTATAATTTATTCTTTTTAGCTTTACTTTTAACAATAATTTTTTATTAATTTATTTTATTTACTTTTTATGTCTAGATAAGATAAATATTACAAATTTACAAATACTTCAGCTCATTAACATGAAAAAAATTTACTCTTTCCAAGTGTAATTAAAACCCTCTTTCATGGAGCAGACGCCTCTCATAAATAAACCCATCTTGAATAGTAAAGAGAGAGAATTTTAGCATAAGCTGCAAAACTTTGTAATGAGGCGAAGCAGGCCATAAAGCATTTCTAATTGGAGTTTCCGGTGGGCAGGTGAGCAGCAGGAGGAAGAAAAAAAAATCAAGAAGCCATACCACAAGCTTTGAACTGTTCCCAAAACGTCCCGTCCCAGCGCAAGGACACTCGCGTTCATTTATAAAAATATTTGAATGGTGACGGGACGAGTGAGAGTTGTTGCAGATATTTTAATTAAATTTTTCTCCCGCGCGAGTCACGACGACCATTAATCATAAACCGAGTCAGTCTTCTATCGGGGCCGCGTGACGGAAATATGAATAATGGAGGCGTTTTTAAAATAGCCGTCCGTTTGCCAAAACAAATATCAATACAGTGCAGTGTCAGCAGTGGGTCTGCCGGGTTGATGGGAAGCAGCTCTCGCTGTTTCACTCACTTGGATTCAACCCTTCACCGCTCACCAGGAGGGCGATTATCAAAATATGTGGCTGACCTCGTGCACTCTCTCCGTGTCAAATCACCAACTAATAGCTCTATTTATCTTCCGCCCCTTTTGGCTGATGGGGCGCCAACAAACAGGGCAGCTCCAATGACTTACTTAGAACAGATGTGTTAATTTAAGGGAGATCTTTGTTTAAATGCTTTAACTATCATTGGAAAATTACTTTTACATCTAGTTGAATGGACGAAAAAATACTAGCACAATTTTATTTTAAATTAAGTAATTTTAAAATTCTTTAAATATGGTTTTTTAACTCGACTAGAGAGTACTTTTTTTAAATTTAATTTCAATAACTTAGCTTTTTTTGCTATAATTTAACTTAAATTGTAAAGTGTGTTTTAGATATTTTCTCATTTTTTTTTTTTTTTTTTTTTTTTTTTTTAATATGAGATCCAAATCAATGATTTAAAAATTAAATAATAATTTATGAAAAATAATATTTTCCTTTTCCATTGAAGATAACAAAGTATCTTCATCTCTTTACTCATAAAAATTTATAA